TAGTTACCAGTACATAGGTCAGTGCTTAACAATCTGAAATGTTCAGGGCCTCGTGTGTTAATATCGTTGAAAAGGATTGCATTGAAATAACCATTCAACCTTAAAAACCAGGGCCCTTATTCTCGAAACGTTCGTAGCCCTAAGAATTCTTAACTTTGATCGTAGCCAATGTGTTAAGAATGGGCTTAAGAAGTTCGTAGGACTTACGAAGTTTCGAGAATAGCTAGCCAGGAGGCAGGTAACTGTAACCTGTCTTCCTTAACGTGAGTGAGTGTGTATGGTTTTACGCCTCCTTTAGCAATATTCCAGCAATATCAAGGCGGGGGACACCAGAAATGGGCTTTACACATTGTACCCATGTGGGGATTCAAACCCGGGTTCGCCGTGACGAGCGAACGCTTCAGCCACTAGGCTACCCTCCCTAAAGTGAACGTGCAGTCTGCATATGATGGGTCCAGGAAGACTGACAGAAAAAACAGACGGCCGAATTCGATTTTTTTACGTTTGTTTGTTTTACCTAGCAATCCGCAATAGTTTTATGGTGGCGGTCTGTAAATAACCGAGTCTGGGCCAGACAGTCCAGTGATTGACATCTTGAGCATCGATCTACGCAACTGGAATACGATGACATGTGTCAACCAAGTCAGCCACTTTTGCCAATTTGAACAACAAAAATTTATTTAGAAAAGAACAACAATGAAAAATGAAAAGAGTCAGGGGCGGAGCTACCATTATTTTTTTTTTAAAAAGCCCGGGCTTACGCGTGATTGTTGCTAAAGAGGTGGGGCAAGCCCTTCATACTACCTAAACATAAAGCTTTGCAACCTATCGGGCTTACACGTAAAAAATGGCTTGTTACGCGTACGAGAGTTGATTTTGAAAATTTATTTGCTTATATGTCCCTAAAAAGAAATGTGACATCTCGGAGTGTTACAAAATGTCACTTTAAAGGTAGTTTTTGTTGGAGGTGAAGACTCTTTTCACCAGACGGATGAAACGGGACAGAAAGGCTCTCAGGGAGGACTGGGTTGGGAGGGGTTGTGTGTCTGATTTCTGATTTGAGGGTTATTATCAAACACAACCAGAAATCAATTTGGCATATATTTGGTATATTTTTATGTAACGGCCAAAGACTGTCAGAAAATTACAAGTAAGAAAAACTATATGAAGGGATTTTGCACCAGTTACAAAATGTTACAAATAAACACCACCGGAGTTTGGAGATGAGGTTCAGTGACAATATCACACACTGGAATACGCGCCCTTGGCGACGTGACTGTTACTGGAATTCCGGAGTGTTATCGGGAATACAACGGATTGTTATGGAAATTCCGGAGTGTTATGGAGAATACAACGGATTGTTATGGGAATTCCGGAGTGTTATGGGGAATACAACGGATTGTTATGGGAATTCCGGATTGTTATGGAGAATACAACGGATTGTTATGGGAATTCCGGAGTGTTATGGGGAATACAACGGTTTGTTATGGGAATTCCGGAGTGTTATGGGGAATACAACGAATTGTTATGGGAATTCCGGAGTGTTATCGGGAATACAACGGATTGTTATGGGAATTCTGGAGTGTTATGGGGAATACAACGGATTGTTATGGGAATTCCGGAGTGTTATGGAGAATACAACGGATTGTTATGAGAATTCCGGAGTGTTATGGGGAATACAACGGATTGTTATGGGAATTCCGGAGTGTTATGGGGAATACAACGGATTGTTATGGGAATTCCGGAGTGTTATGGGGAATACAACGGATTGTTATGGGAATTCCGGAGTGTTATGGAGAATACAACGGATTGTTATGGGAATTCCGGAGTGTTATGGGGAATACAACGGATTGTTATGGGAATTCCGGATTGTTATGGAGAATACAATGGATTGTTACTGGAATTCCGGAGTGTTATGGGGAATACAACGGATTGTTATGGGAATTCCGGAGTGTTATGGGGAATACAACGGATTGTTATGGGAATTCCGGAGTGTTATGGAGAATACAACGGATTGTTATGGGAATTCCGGAGTGTTATGGGGAATACAACGAATTGTTATGGGAATTCCGGATTGTTATGGAGAATTCAACGGATTGTTACTGGAATTCCGGAGTGTTATGGAGAATACAAATGTTTGTTATGGGAATTCCGGAGTGTTATGGGGAATACAACGGATTGTTATGGGAATTCCGGAGTGTTATGGGGTATACAACGGATTGTTATGGGAATGCCGGAGTGTTAAGGAGAATACAACGGATTGTTATGGGAATTCCGGAGTGCTATGGGGAATACAACGGATTGTTATGGGAATTCCGGATTGTTATGGAGAATACAACGGATTGTTACTGGAATTCCGGAGTGTTATGGGAATTCCGGAGTGTTATGGGGAATACAACGGATTGTTATGGGAATTCCGGAGTGTTATGGAGAATACAACGGATTGTTACTGGAATTCCTGAGTGTTATGGGGAATACAACGGATTGTTATTGGAACTTCCGTGTTGAGTAGGTTTATCTCACAGTTATTAGTCGTGAAAATGCACTTTGGAGTAAACATGATGATACATCTTTACGGAATGGTCGTTTTTGCTGGTATTAATCATGGCAATTTAATGTTTTAGGCAAAATTGTTGCTCAATGTTACTCAATGAAAAGAAAACTTAAAATGTCCTAATGTGGACAAAATAATCCATTGAATCTTATACCATGAAAACATGAATCAATATTCTTTGACAATTTCAAATCAAACTAACATTTATGATTGTTTTAGTTGTGATAATTGATGTTGTTAGGGGCGGGTGTAATTGTTTGGTAACGGATTGTTACCAAGTTAAGTTTAACCGTGTTCCGGATTGGGAATGTGGACGTTACGGGTTGTTATCAAGTAATGTTACATCATAAACAAATGTCTTTAGCACTTAAACATTTAACGTTTTGACAACAAACAAGTATTGCTTTGCACCAATTATTAGTGATTCAATTATATAGCCAGATCTAACAAAACAAGGTTAGCTTTGGTAGCTGAGAAAAGTTATAAGTTTTAGCTTCTGAAATGTGGCATGTAATAAAGCATGATCTGAACTGTCATAAAGTTTTCATAGATCAGGGCAAGTTATATTTTCTTAACCTTTGATCCTTTGGCAAAGCATCTAAAAAATACCAATGTGATCTATCTGAGATACCTACTAAAGACAACACGCAATGACGTCACTGTGTTCGAATTTTCTGTAATTCATTACATTTGTTGATTAGACTAACTAAAACTACTGGTGCTTAATAAATAATGTTGTGACATGAGTCAAGTTACATGAACTCAATGAGATGCATGTGGGAGTTTAAGGACTCCATTTCACCATTAAAATCTTTAGAATGCAGTATGATCTTATCATTTTCCTGTGATGGCATCTAAAGGGACATTGTTTCAATATTGAAATGTATGTTGGAACTAATAGGTTCCCCATCAACAAAACAATGCACACATATATTGTCAGTTGTCACCAGAGAGCTGCAAGACATACTTGCTGTCAAGAAAGGGAGTCATACCCTGTGTATCACAGGGTTCGACACTAAGGCACCTCCGAACGACATCGTCTAGTAAATACTACATAGCTGGTCCGATCCAGTTTAAATCGTGTCTGGCTAGACCGACGGGTCGTGTAAATATTTAATGAACAGTTTCAAATCACCGTATTTGATTATTTTCGCTTTTAACAATCGTGCACAGCGTCATCTATTAAAATGACTATTATAGAGACTATTATTAACCTTAATTAAGTTTAAGAGACCATAAAAGCTACTCTTTAATGATAACGTTCTTCAGGTATACAGTATTTATAATGGACAAAGGAAAACAATTATCGGAACCTGTTTGTTCTAGCCACTGGCATGCGCAGACGACATCCTGATGGAAGAAATTCGTAATCGTAAAATAGAATATGAGAGCTGTCATTTACAATTTTCTGCACCTTTTTGACAATTTGCTGCTCATAATGTAGGCCGATAGATGTAGTGCCTATGATTTTGCGTGCTGTGATAACAATTTTGTTGAGTTTAGTTTTGTTTTGAATAGAGAGGTTACCAAACCAGCACAGTAGGTTAAAAGTTACATCTGTCTTTTCGTTATAAAGCTTGTCCATTACTAGTATATAGTCTGGCAGAATACTTTTCGTGACGGTGTTTAGTCACTTTACTCAAAAACTACAATTACAATCATTTTCTAATTTGACACGATGCATTATAATTGTTCTACAATTGTGAATTTGTAATTTCATGAATTATGATTCAATAATATATAAGTTGTCCAATAAACTATCATTAAAATATTGACACAGTTCACTATTTGTTACGAGGGAGGAGTTCAGAGAGAGGAACAGTGTAAAAGTGTGTACAACGTTAATTAAGATTATTTGAATATAACTGTCACTTTACTAAGTCAAGAACATTTTGAAAGTTCACTATGTTTTCCTTGCTCCATTACAATTTCATTTCCTAGAAAATGCATATTTTCATGAAATGATTATTTGTGAATCTAAACACATCACTTGGTAAGGTGAAATGTCAGTACTTACCACTAAAACGAGACAAATTTGAAACACGCATACTTATTGAATTCCCATAACAATTCGTTGTATTCATCATAACACTCCGGAATTCCCATAACAATTCGTTGTATTCCCCATAACACTCCAGAATTCCAATAACAATCCGTTGTATTCCCCATAACAATCCGCTGTATTCCCCATAACACTCCGGAATTCCCATAACAATCCGTTGTATTCCCCATAACACTCCGGAATTCCCATAACAATCCGTTGTATTCCCCATAACACTCCGGAATTCCCATAACAATCCGTTGTATTCTCCATAACACTCCGGAATTCCAGTAACAATCACGTTACCAACGGTGCGTATTACAGGGTGTGAAATGTCACAACGAACTTACAATGTAAGAATTGCTGAACACGCAAAATACACATGGATCACACAACAACGACATGAACTTCAGAAACGAGTTTATTGTAGTATTCTCTGAACTGAAAACTCTTGTACAAGGTCTCGAGTTAGAAGACGCGATACCGGCTGTCAACTGTTCTGGCTACATCAGTCGCTGGGCATTGTCTGTCACATCATGGATGTAGAACCTGGTACTTGTCTGTATCCCTCCCACGACTGATATTCCTGGACTGTAAACAAATAAATTGTATAATTAACTTTGAAACTTGAAAGTATATGAACTAACAGCAACTGGAACTGGACCCATGCAATGTAAATGTATGCAAACCTACGTCACATTGACCAGATCACAAACAACTGGACCTTGGACCACCCTGATCACGATGACAATCGGCGAGTATCAAAATACCTCACTAGAGTGTAAACTGTAATACTTCATACCTGCTATAAATCACGGACTTGTGATAACTGTAACCTGTATGCTTAATAGGGCTGTGTATTGGCAAATAAATTGTCTTGCAATGTAGTGCGATACGTATTGCGATATATCGGGAACTTAAGTATGTGAAAGTGAGTGACACTAATTGTGCATGGCAATCTTATTTTCTACATTATAAGTCCCTAGACAGATGTTATGGTTCTGATGGCAGCAATCTCAAAATTAGGTTGCATAGTCATGGATTTTATTTTATAAATACAATTAATCGGATTACAGTTAGCCGTTTTGTCATTGAATAAGGAAGGAAAATATTTGTTGTGAATGAAAGTCTGTGTAGATTTTAATTTAAACCATAAAGACACTCACAAAAACTTTGTTCTTTACCCAATATACCAATCTCAGAAAAAAATATTGTCATACGTATCATTTGAATATTTGCAATATACCGGTAATACCATGCAATCCTTATGCTTAAATCATCACAACCCGTCGGAATGAAGCAGGAACGGCTGCCATATATAATCCGGATGTCAACAACATGATGTACCTCCTACACCCTGATATGGCCGGAATAATACTAACAGCAGTGTAAAACACCACTCCTTCGATCTCTAGATTTCAAGGTTTCAATGATTAAAAAGGTATTTGGACATCTGATTGCATGAGAAATTAAGAATACGGCGGTATTTTATGTTCACTACAAATTTTCAAAATCCCATTCTGGATGTGTATGCGCGAACACGATGCACCTATTGCATATACTATACGTTTTCGCCATGATGTCACAGACCTGTGAAGATCTACAAACGTTTTCCCGACAGACAAATTGCGCTGCAGAGTTCTGTAATGTCACTGGAAGCTTTGGATTATGCTTGACTGTGATCCATTATGTAACATAAGTAGCGAATACTTCATATAACAAAATAATGCAGCAAACAACAATTTGAACAAAAAACAAAACAAAGTTTACTAACGAAATAACAAACAACTGGAAATTATAACAGGTGTTGTTTGTGACTTATTTGCCACAAATGTCCCACAAAATGGCACTTTATACGTCGTTTTTGTTGGAGGTGAAGACTCTTTTCACTAGACGGATGAAACGGGACAGCAAGGCTCTCAGGAAGGACTGGGGTGGGCGGGGTTGTGTGTCTGCCTCACTGCCCAGATCTATCTCCACAAAGTCAGTGTCAGCCACAATAACTTGGCCGGTGATGTTGACAGAAACAGAGGCGGGGACTGGGTCGGGGACAGAGATGTAGGAGGTGGGAAGGTTGGACAGGGGTTCAGGGTGGAACACACAAGGACGCTAGTGGGGAGGGAAGTGGGAACAGAGAAATAATGAGACAAGGCTGATATGAAGGGCAGGTTGTATGCTGGGTAAGGAAAGACGGTAAGAATGAATCATACGGGACACGACAGCCATTTTCTTGCCACGGTCAATATATTTTATTCATTAGGATTATTTAGAGAGGGTTAGGGTCGGGTGTAATGCATGTATACCGGAACAATTGACCATACAGGAGAAGGTTATGGAACATGAACACTTGGACACGAGGCATTTTGTCTCAGAAATTGACCTGTTGTGAAAACAAATACTGTGTGACATACATTTTAGTTCCCTACAGGAGCTGATACAAGTTTCAGTTTCAATAATTTAGTTTTATTCTAAAACCTTAGCACACCTACTCGACGTGGGACAGGAGTGACAGCAGTGGTAAGCAACTGGTGAAACATGACCTCTGTGTTGTGGAGAAGTGATGAAACTTCTTGAAATAAAGAATACACTGAAAGTCATAGTTAAGTACAAGTAATATAAGCTGTTCCCTCGAGTGTAATACGGTCTGAGAGAATGTTCGTTACACATGAAAGGATTCGCCATTTTCAGAAAACCTCTAAAATCAGATGTTAAAAACAGAAAGAACACGTTTACAGTATCCAAGGAAGCATATTGATCAACGTAACACTGCCAGGGGTCTTTTCAGACATCAAGAACAAAAATGCAAACATCGTTAGTAAAGATACACATCGGCCAGTCGCCATATTTAACAACAGACTGAAACAAAGTCACAAAACACGGATTCATTGGTACCTTGAACGTAACTGCTTGACTGTATGGGGAAAAAACTCAAGCGATCGTCAAAATCGAAGATAGATTGACCAACAATGGCGAGATACAGCAGATGTATACAAGCAACAACAATGGCGTCGTTTTGCTGAGATCGGTAGCTGCGCGACGATCGGCACTATCGGAAGGGAGATAACTCTCAGTTTCCTTGTGTTTCATGTACCACTACTGATCTGCTTAACTGGTGTCACTGGTGTAGTGCAACCGGTATTTCACTCATTCTCAGTTAGCGTGTACATTTGTGATCATGGAAATCGGATTATATTTTTATCTGAACACAATTTCTTCGATATGACAACGGCAAGTATTATTTACTTGACCTATGTACAGAATGATAGGATACAATGCCTTATGGTTTGTTAATAAACGGCAGTTACTAGCATTTGAGGTATTTAATAGTTTATTTTACGTCACACAAAATAATTTAATGTTAGATATATGTAAAACTATAGTACAACTTGTTTTAATTGTTTGCTAAATCCTTTAACAAACTAAAGTTAATTTCAACACAAATAAATCAAAAAAGTAATCAGATGTTATATAGAATTTGACCGTTATATTGACAATTGGTGAAACTTCATACAAGAATTTCCAAATAGATTCTCTAGTTCATCTAAAGTAATATTGAATGTCTTACACTGGCATTTCTATATTTATAGACAACGTCAAGGAGTTATGCGACCTGGAAATATAGTTATTTGCTCCATAGTGGTTATTAAATGTATCACTGTAAGGTAATAAACATTTAATACAACTGTAACGTAAGATACTGTCAAACATAACGGCTGCAGTTTTTGTCATTTTCAGAAAACTGCAAATACAAATAAATTAATGACATATCTCTAACAAACGTTTAGCAACAAACGTTGGATTATATAGGAATTTGTGTTCATTTAACGCCAGTACAATCTAACTGTATATTACGTTACAGCAACTGTATTTTACGTTACGAATGCCATATGGTAATTTCAGTGTGTTTTTCATTACCGAGCATGATTATACATGATACATCTCATTAGACTATCTTCATTACACGCACTGATAAACGTTTAACAGTTTGACTTGTACACATATACAAGAATCATAAGGTTGAAAGTTCAGTACTTACATACCGATGATTTAACCCCTCAGAGCTTCAGATCATGAGCAGCACGCACATTGAAATCGGCATGAATGACGTAACATGTTTTCATGGCGTCATCAAATTTGTTAGTGGCGTATGCACATTATGTGATGTTAAACAGCCATATATGGAACTGTAACGTAAAATACCGTAACGTGGAATAAGTAACGTAAAGTACCGTAACGTGGAATACGTAACGTAAAATACATCAGTCATTATTTTGAGCCACGCAAGTTAAACAAATGACATAGTGCAAATATAGGAGACGGGAAAAGGAACTAGGTTGCATACTTCTTACCAGATGATCATATAGATGTGCTCAAGTTATGTATATGGTCTTATAACGTCGTAACGTAAAATACACCCTTATCTATACTGTATATGATTGTATCTTCCCAACATATAGTTTAACAAGTTATTACAACAAATAGATTTGATGTTCAGTGTCTTCAATAAAACATGAGCGATTACTTTCTTAACGTTCCTGGGTGTATTCTTTTCTCTTTTCATGTTGTTTTCTTTCTTTTGGAGCATAACGTAAAATACCAAAGAATTGGCGACAGTGGAATTTCATTAAAATCTTACTAATACCCTCAAATATTAGGTTAAATGACCAACTCACTGTAAAATTCAGCATGCTATCGTCCACGTGATGCATGAAATGATAACATTCACTATCACCAGTGTTATTTTTGATGCAACAAATATATACACCGTCGCTGGCGACATGCAACTTTTAACTCAAATGGGTTGTTACACATATCGTAAGAATATATTTTTCATGTATTATGGAAATGGTAATGGTAAATTAACACATAATACCCAGTGTATCTATATTTCTAAACTAACTTTTAATATTTTTACACGGATTTTCTTTTTTGTATTTAATTTTCTTTTATGTCCCAAACCACTTAATTTCTGTGGATATTTACACCTTTTCCCTGATAGAAAATCAAAACTTAGAAGTGTGAAAAATCCATGCACATTTTGAGAGTCAAAGTTGCATTTTCTCTAGTGTAAAAAATATATAAAATCGTTGGGTCAGGTCGAAGTTTTGAGTCGGGTGGTAATGTGAAACAAGAATAATTTTACATTTGGCCGTATTGACATTCAGTCGGGGAGAGGCCTATGGCCCCAGTTAAGAGAGTATTATGTTTTGCGAAGTCCGCTCAAGGTCTGCCCCGAGCGTCCGGACTTTCGATGTAAACTGGACTGTCAAGTGCGTGTAACGGTAACATGCTTTTCTAGAAATGAAAGTACAAACTGCACTTGACGCTCCATGCATGTGTGTGCGTGAGTGCGTACGAGCGTGTTTTGATTGGGTATAGCTGAAGATTAATACCCCTTTCGTCTGGTCAAGTGCAAGTTTGCCATAACTCTCCTGAAAGTCTTTGAATGTCTACGAAAAGGGGCATTCGAATACGGCACAACTACGCCTTTAATCCACAATACAAAGATAATACCGATAAAGGGGAAAAGCGACACTTTTGGTCAGACCAATAAACCGGAAACATATTTCCTTCTGCCTCTGTGGTGCCATGACCAGGGAGACTGCTGCTTAAAATCAGCTGATGAAATACCAGCGCCTTGAGCATGCACTAGTTGTGAGGATATGTGCGCTATATATAAATATCCTATGAATGAATGAATCAATGAACGTTAGTAGACCCCTTACGTTTGTCAACGTACACACCTAAATGTTGATATACGAAATCTGTTCAACTAGTGCAACTAGTGCATGCTCAAGGCGCTGGTATTTCATCAGCTGATGGCGAATAAAAATGCTGGCAGTACACATCGGCCCATCAACCACACTGAACAGTGGGACAAAGTCCTAAAACCGGGAATAATTGGTACCTTGAAAGTAACTACTTGACTGCATGTTACTAAACTCAAGCGTAGTTCAAAATCGAAGGAAGATATAGACTGACAATGGCGAGATAAAGCAGATGTATTCTAGCAACAACAATGGTGTCGTTCGGTAGCTTAGCAACGAACGGCATAACCGAGAGGGAGATAACCCTCAGATTCCCAGTATTTCCTATACCGCTAAATACCGCAAAATATAGAAGGATCACACAACAACGAGATGAACTTCAGAAACGAGTTTATTACTTATTCTCTGAACTGAAAAATCTTGTACAAGGTCTCGAGTTTGGAGACACGATACCGGCTGTCAACTGTACTGGATACATCAGTTGCTGGGCATTGTCTGTCACATCATGGATGTAGAACCTGGTACTTGTCTTTATCTCTCCCACGACTGATATTCCTGGACTGTAAACAAATACATTGTATAATGAACTTTGAAACTTGAAAATATATCAACTTACAGCAACTGGAACTGAACCCATGTAATGTAAATGTATGCAAACCTACGTCACACTGACCAGATCACAAACAACCGGACCTTGGATCACCCTGATCACGATGACAATCGGCGAGTATCAAAATACCTCACTAGACGGTAAACTGTAATACTTCATACCTGCTATAAATCACGGACTTGTGATAACTGTAACCTGTATGCTTAATAAGGCTGTGTATTGGCAAATAAATTGTCTTGCAATGTAGTGCGATATGTATTGCGATATATCGGGAACTTAAGTGTGGGACAGTGAGTGACACTAATTGTGCATGGCAATCTTATTTTCTACATTATAAGTCCCTAGACATATGTTATGGTTCTGATAGCAGCAATCTCAAAATTAGGTTGCATAGTCATGGATTTTATTTTTTAAATACAATTTATAGGATTACAGTGTGCCGTTTTGTCATTGAATAAGGAAGGAAATATTTGTTGTGAATGAAAGACTGTGTAGATTTTAATTTAAACCATAAAGACATTCAAACAAACTTTATGTTCTTTACCCAATATACCAATCTCAGAAAAAACTATTGCCATACGTATCATTTGAAAATATGCAATATACCGGTATAACGTGCAGTCCTTATGCTTAAATCATCACAATCCGTCGGAATGAAGCAGGAACGGCTGCCATATGTAATCCGGATGTCAACAACATGATGTACCTCCTACGCCCTGATATGGCCGGAATAATGGTAACAGCGTGCAGTGAAAAACACCACTCATTCGATCTCTAGATTTCAAGGTTTCAATGATTAAAAATGTATTTGGACATCGGGTGGCATGAGAAATTAAGAATAAGGCGGTATTTTATCGCTACAAATTTTCAAATCCCATTCTGGATGTGTATGCGCGAACAAAACGCACCTATTGCATATACTATACGTTTTCGCCATGATGTCACAGACCTGTGGAGATCTACAAACGTTTCCCGATAGACAAATGGGTCTGCAAAATTCTGTAATGTCACTGGAAGCTTTGGGTTATGCTTGACTGTGATCCATTATGTAACATACGTAGCGAATACTTCATATAACAAACATTTCTGGTGTCCCCCGCCGTGATGTTGCTGGAATATTGCTAAAAGTCGGCGTAAAACCAAACTCAGTCAGTCAGTCAGTCATATAACAAAATAATGCAGCAAACAACAATTTGAACAAAAAAACAAAACAAAGTTTACTAACGAAATAACAAACAACTGGAAATTATAACAGATGTTGTTTGTGACTTATTTGCCACAAATGTCCCACAAAATGGCACTTTATACGTCGTTTTTGTTGGAGGTGAAGACTCTTTTTCACCAGACGGATGAAACGGGACAGCAAGGCTCTCAGGAAGGACTGGGGTAGGCGGGGTTGTGTGTCTGCCTCACTGCCCAGATCTATCTCAATAAAGTCAGTGTCAGCCACAATAACTTGGCCGGTGATGTTGACAGAAACAGAGGCAGGGACTGGGTCGGGGACAGAGATGGAGGAGGTGGGAAGGTTGGACAGGGGCTCAGGGTGGAACACACAAGGACGCTAGTGGGGAGGGAAGTGGGAACAGAGAAATAATGAGACAAGGCTGGTATGAAGGGCGGGTTGTATGCTGGGTAAGGAAAGAC